AGCAAAACCAAACAGTGGCGCAGGTACGTTTTGTCACAGTGCAAATTGTGCGACATTGTGTACTGCAAATGCAAGCTCGGTGAGTGATAGCTAGTGTAATGAAAGAGTATAATGTACACGTCACACGTGATGACGTAATACCAACATCCATGCGAACGAAATAGGAGAGGATCAAACACGTGTATAAGAACTTATGCGACAACCTAATACTTTGCCACTTGTGGAAATAGAGAAACCGGCAACATTTACGAAAATGCACGTCAAAGGAAATGATACGTATTGCTCTGGCGAACCAGGAGAAAAGGCGAATAGGAGAACCCTCGATTCGATTTCTAGGCGAGTATGCGTAGAAGGGTAAGATGGGAATCTACCGCTTCGGTCCTAACGCGCCTTCTTCCAACGCCGATATTTCCAAAGCCGCTAATGAATACAGTCGGACCAGTTCTATTTTACTCCTTTGGAACGCATTCATCTATTATGTCGAATCACTGAGCTCCTACTCTCCCGAGTCACTCAGCATGAACGCGCCCTCGTACACTGCCGGGAACGATGTTTAGGGGAATAAAGTAGGTAAAATATTGCAAACTGGAGAGCGATTCTCGGCCGAAATGTTTCAAATCATTAAGAAACGGAAGTCAGAACCACTTTTTGAGATCTTGATGTGAAAATGGGAACAGCGCTCCTAGTTATTTTGTTCTTCCGCTTCTACCACCAGGTTTTCGGGATGAGAACTTTATTCGGCCAACGTTTCGGCCTCTCAGCAGTCTTCAGAAGCTTGATAAACAAACAAGAAAACATCACCCAAAGCTTAAGAATTGCATGCCATTTTTTCAAACATCATGTGCCTTCTGGCATTTCTGACATCATCTCTGGAGCATATAAAAATGCAAACATACAAAAAAAAACTCCAAGATAAGCTTACCTTGACTTCCACCACTAGAGTATAACCTAAAGCTACGCTTAGTTACCCTATTATTATTTTAGTAAGCGAATGAGTGAAATTAAGTAACAAGTTGGGACTAACTTTTGATAGGCTTTTTTGGATATTTCTGCATACTCCTGAAGGGCGTCAGAAATGCCGGCGTCTGAGGGTGGTAGCATGCAATTCTCAAATTTTGGGCAGTGTTTAAGCTTTTAAAAACGATGAAAAGACGAAAGTTTGGCCTTGTCAAGTTTCCATCTGAAAATCTCATCGCAGAAAGAGAAAAAAAAAATGACGAACAATGACGAGGTTTCAAGAATGAGAAAAGCCGGTTTCTTATGCATAAACGGTACAGTAAACGAGCAAAATCAAGATGGAAAGTGCAGAAATCAGAAAGATGGGTTTGGTAACAGGTTCAGTAAAGGGACTTGATCGTTGAACCGCCGTTCTTGCCCCCTCATTCGCAAAGTGTCCGAAACTGAGAACACTTTCTGGATGAAGACCGCTCAAGTACAGTTTTCGTCAAGAGAGTACCTTGACGAAAACTGTACTCAAGCACAACGGTGAAGCAGCCCTGACAAGCACAAAAAACTATCATCCCGAATGTTTAAACTACGAAGTCGTGAACTTTGCCGATTTTTCGTTCAGTATACAATATAGCATATGTTAGAAACATCGAAAGCGAAAACGAAGGAATGGGAAGTTTCTCACGTTGCAAGAATTCAATGGAGTTTCCCACATCCATTTCAATAGCAAATGAGGAACACTCGAGAAGCAAATAGTTTATGAGACCAGAAGCAATCATTCACAAATCTCGATCACATATGACAATAAATTACACCCGAAATATGACATATGCAGAAAACCGCAAAAAAGAAAACTCTAAAGCCTTCGTGGCTGCCCCACTACCAACTAACACAGAAATTGCGACTCTACTCCGCTTTATCTTCACAAATTTGCCGTAGTCGAGTTGGATGAACCGAGCTCTGGAGCCACACATCGCTTTAGAGCAGAGGAAAGAGCCTGATCTACCATAGAATTCACTATGACCTCATCCGCTACCAATGGTGACACTCCTCGTTGAAGGATAATAGCAATCTACCTGGAAACAGTACTCGATAAGAACCCCGAAAAGAAGGAAACATAGAGATTCGGGAGAATTGCCGACCTGTATTTGTTCTACTGCAAACTTTCCATATGTTTGCAGCCGTATCGATTCAATGAACGACTTTAGTAGCACTTTTACGATGGCTCCTATGATGGAGGCTCTGTTAAACTGAAAAATCTCGCTTAATTCATGCCACTCTTCAAATTGTATACAATATTATTGACAAACATATGGAAAACTGCTGATGGTGAAAGTCGATTTCGTATCACACCACAGCGAATCTCGAGCGACGAGTAGTCAGCCAGCCGATGGTGCTTGGTGGTCTGTTCGACGGCGTGGACGCCATTCTCTTTTGCGACAGGTCTCGCACACAGAAGAAGGCGGGAGAGCATCGAGTCACATTCGAGAACCTCCTCTACTGCACGTCGTACTGCAGATCTAAATAAAGGAAACATGACCGTCACTCATCCCAAGAAGATTAGGATTGCCATTATTTTTGGGCAACATTCAATTCTGGATCGCATAAGCCTCACTTGAGAAGGTTAATCCTCAATAATGAGCCCTCGACGGGATGCAGTCATTGAAGACCAAACACCCAGTGAAGTCGTAGTGAGTCCATAAAACCAAAGCAGAAAGGGAGGGGGGCGGGGGAAGAAGAAGGATGTTTTGGAAGGAACTTTGCTCAGGTTGAAAAGGACTAATCAGGGAATGTCAATAGATCGTCATGGCCACTCAAAATGGGATGAATATCGACGTGTGCGTCTCGGGACGCTAGTTCAAACCTGCTTCCAGAAATTGCGGAACAACTATTTAGGAAGCTACGAAAGTTTTTTCTAGCATTGCACCCGCCGATTCTCTCTGTGTCGCTTTAGTTCACTTTCGAGAGCCAGACGGTGTTCATCTGCGGTACGTCGTAGAGCAGTGGATAATGAAGTCGCTTGTTAGGGTGACAGGGTGTCCACAACCGCTTTTCTGCTTTTTCTTGCGAACATCTTGTATGAGTCTAGAAAGTACGTTTATTCCATTATTCTGTCAATCTTGCTCTCATTCGCAGCAGGAAAAGAGCAAAATGCCGACACTTCTTTAGAAGTACCTTTCAAGACTTATTTAAAAGAATAAGGCTTTCAAATGACGATTCCACGAATGCATCGCTCAAACTGCCCAACATGTAAAAGCACATGCGGTGAAGAAACACCATATTTTCTTGAGTGACTGTAACTCAAGAGCATGTGGTGTAGGTGTGCTGCAATTCGACTCATTAAGGAACCATCTGAATACCGTTCAATTTTGTGATGAAGCTCAAATAAGGAGCACATCTGAAGAACAGCCGACATTTGACTCTTTCTCTGCAGAAATTTTGACAAAAGAACGGGAACGCGCTTTTAGACACAACAAGCGATCTTCCGAAACCAGATCACAACTTTGACATGGACGCTCGCACCTATGAAGCAACGCCTTTCTCCACATTCCATGACCACCTCACACTGTTGGTATTGGAGATAAACTTAAGCAAGCAAGGAGGGAATTCGGCGAGTGCCATGCTAGGAAAACCCCTCCATAGCTTCTCCTAAGAGTAGTTCGAGTTGCGACGCATTCTGGATGGCCATAGCGACCTGTTGACCTTCCCTGATAGGACAGAACGGGTGGGTTCGTCCCAACAGTCTCCGCGAAAACAGTGGAATTAACGTTAGGGAAAAATGTTATTCGGGGAAAGTTCTAACATTCACGTCGATGAGAATATGGGTGCTTACAGGTGGCTACACAAAAAGTTGTGTATGCGCTTTGGAGGAAACCGGGTACTACTGGCTGATGCGGAAATAGCCCGAACACACTATTTCCTTATCGTACATACCATGAACAGCCTACTACGGGGGCAAAGTTCTGTTTTCTGATAAAGTGACTGCGTCGAGGAAAAACTCTAATGTCCATAGACTTCCCCCAAATCTGAATAAATACCAAGAAAGGTACAAAACTGGCGAAGTTCTTGAAAGAATTGAGAAGACCTCTTAATAACAGACCTGACTCCCACAGGTGATGCAGCTGGTTGTCTTAGACCTTCGCAACCTTTGACGAGAGCTTCACCTAACTCAAGTCCACGGAATTTGGCAAAACGTCGCAAGAGTGCTTGGGAACACGTTTTCAACATCGTCGTCACCTCGGCCACACCTAAATGCCGAGGAGCATGTACATGATGACCTGCTAACCTATAGGACACTGACAATGGCAAGGTGGTGATTCACATGTTGAATGTGAGGTTTTTGAAACCACTCATGGAAAACTACCGTTTTAGGGGAGGGGATGAGCACTCCACAGAGCCTCTGTAGCGCTTCCCTAACCAAGGCTAGAGCGCGAAAGGCCAGGGTCTCTCATATGTTGTCTACTTTACAAGAGTAGCTCGCGATGACTATGACCATCTGCGCTCTAAGCCTAAGCCTTGGTTAGGGAAAGGGCCCATAGAGGCGCTGTACTCACCACCACTACTCCCACCCCCTAAATAGGTCAGCACAGACAAGAATTGCTAAATTCTAAAAACAAATATATAACAGAAGAGTGCAAGCTGCGAATGGTTGCTTGATTACTGTATATTATTGCAGGAATGAAACCGCTCTAGGAAAGCACTACTTGTAAAAACGAAATGGAAGACAAACCAGTTAATCCCGATGTTGTTTTTGAGGTTGTTAAAGAGAACTGCTCTCTACAAAGACTCAGAAGGTATTGTGATGACTTATTCGCCAAATGGTGCAGAGTGAACGCGATCAATAACATCATCAAGGGGTTTGCATAGCGAGTCTCTCCCACTGACGAGCCTGAAGTACATTTTTGAATGAAAAACAGCCATAAAGCGATACAGCAGACACAAGCAGCACAAATCATGGGAATGAACTAACCATATGTTTCAGCGATAGCAGTGACATCTTTGAAAGCTCCGATCACTATCTCTTCATGGACACTTCGAGCAAATTCAGCTTGGAACT